TGCGCCATAATCGATGTACTAACTTCAACATTTCTATTGAAACCTGCTTTCTCCAACCGTCTGCCTCCTGCCATCGCTACATCCACTCATGCTTCGCGGATATCAACAGTCGAAGCAATACGCGCGGCTCACCAACGACCACTGCTCTATCCAGACAAAAAGAAGAATTCGTGAGCAGGAGTAGATTATTTTACATGTTTTCTATATGCTGCCTCTCCTTTTCTGCTTCTTGTCCGGCCTGCCGCAGTGTACCGATAGATTCGGCACCTTTTTCACCTTCTTTAGCAGATTATTGTTTTCTGGAAACAACCAGTCGTTTTTATAATTTTTATCACGTTCCTCGCTGTTCATTCGCTTTCCGCTGGTGGCAGTGTGCCGACAATTTCGGCACCCTTCTTTGCCGTATCACTTTACTCATCGCTAAGTACCGTACAGGTCATGCCTAAGCATGACCTGCTGATATGAGTATCTCTATAGCCCAGATGCATGTATACTATTTTGTCACGTCCATCATATGCAGCATTCTACCACAGCACCCACGCGTGCTAGTCGACTGTTCATAGAGCTCTACAGCTAATGTGTTCTGTATAACACACATCAAGGGGCGCTATTCCGCCTCAGGCTACTATAAATCCTACCAACCACCACAGCTAGGTTACTTTATATTCATGAAGACTAAAGGTGAGAGCTGGAAGTGCAACAATGTGCTCAATTTCGCTGTCTATATGTACGATTTTTCACGTTGTAACTGCTCATAGCTTCGTCCACAAAGGCGTAAGCAGATATGGAATACAGATTTGAAGTTGGTGTAATGCTGCATCAAATGATATGTAGCTTGCTTGGATTGGCCACTTCGCTTCTGACCATTTACTTGTGAGGTACAGACACATCAATCATACCAGTGGCGAACCGGGGGAGGAGGGGGGGGGAGGGGAATAAATTTTCTTGAAGTGCGTTAATGACGCCACACCTTCATTCTGAAATTTTTCCCCTCCCTCCAAACGAAAATTCTGGGTACGCCACTATCGTTTAAGCAAAGAAGTCTACCACGCATAATGAGTATCCGTAATTGCACGTTAAATAATCGCTAGGATCGAATTTTAGCAAATTCCGATGCTACAAATATGGGCCCAACCAAGCCTTTAACGAATGATATATTCGGTTGTTGCATAAGTTTTTTTCTGCCTTATGTTTGAAGCAGCCTTTCTAAGAAAATTTCATCTCTAATGCGGAATTGTTAGTGTCATTAGAAAGTGCTTTTCTTGCGCTTTCTAATGCATATCAAATTTCAATAAATTTCCTAGTGTAAGGAAATTTATTGAAATTTGATATGCCTGAAATCTCCAAGTGGCCGAGGTACTTCTTACTCTAGAAATATGTTCTTGCGAGGAAATCTTCACAACGCCCCCTTCAGGTCAAGTTTTTTAATTGGTTGCGGAATAAGGGTGCAATAGGCTAGCATACGCATAAGTTCAGTTCCATGAAGAAAACGTCTTGCTAGTAAAATTTATTGTCAAACATTAATTTTCTGTATAGATCTTTTACAAGCTATAACTTTCTGTGAATAGAAGTAATCGACGACTTCAAAGTTGGTGGTGCTAGGGTAAAGCAAGCGCTAGCAGAGACCATCCGCCTATTTCTTTTTGGCGATAGCGTCAATTGTAAAATTTTCATAACTCGTAAATAGGCATGCACACATGTGCTGAAGCCAGTTCAAAATGTGGCTAATTTTCTGTTCGGTCAAAAAAAATCTCTTGGCAGCGCAGACCCTATGGGCTCTTTTATGGTGCAAAAAAATTTACAAAAAATTCTCCATCTATCCATTGTTGGACAAGATGCATATCACTTCTTATAAGGGAGCATTGCCGTATCAAAAAAGATAGGTTTGAAGAAAAACGCTGTGAAGTTTTTGAGTTCTTGCTTCTTCAACATGGATTTTCACACGTTTCAATATGTATCTGATAGCCAAGGAATTTCTCAACATACGGAAATTAAGATCATGAAAAAAGTTGACTTTGAAAGAATTTATGACATTTTGAACCAAAAAAAATTTAAATCGGACAGAACTTATGCAACAACCTAATACATAAAGGCTGCTGCAAGACCAAGGCGGAGAAGTGGTATTGGTTAAGCGGGCGCGAACTCGGCGCGCGCGTATCCTCACCGTTGAAACCCAGTCGCTCATGCGCTCTGCGAGTAATAGTGCCGCTTTCGCTCCCAAAGGTACTGCGCCTTCGTCATGCAGTGGCCTGTACTCTGGCGAATCCGGCTGCGCCCGGCCGTGTCAGTAATATTTCCGAAGGAATGCTCACACGCCCTGTGCAAATTTCCACTGAACTGATATCGATCAATGACGAAAATAGCCTGGACACCCGCCCCGAATTGTACGTGTGCCAAGTTTGTTTCGGATCTGCTTACATCTGTTAGAAATGAAATTTCTATTCGGAACTAATAAGAAAAGTTGCCTAACTTAGCTCGGCCTTTTGGCAAGGGACACACATAGTCTGACTCCAAACGCTGATTCCAAATATGGTATTCCTAGCTGCCACGCACCATTCCGATGCTAGTTATGGGCTTTTTCCTGCGCAAAAATGGCATGCTCATCGACTCACGGGCATCACGTCATCATCCTTTGAGTGCTGATACACCTGCGTTAAGCTTTATTAGTGAGAAAAGCTTGGATTTGCACTATTTCGATACCTCAGCACCTTTTTCTTGCAGATTTTTTATCTACAGGCAGTCTTCTCATGTTCAGTAGTACGCCAGTTTTGCGTAGAAAAAAGCCCACAACTCGCTTCGGAATGGTGCATGGCAGCTAGGAGTAGCATATTTGGAATCAGCGTTTTTCATTTTCATTTGTACGCTCAAGGCGTTTCAATACGAAAGAAAAAAAAACACAAAACACACATCGAGAAGTTAGTAATACAGCGGAATAAGCAATAAACGAATGCAGACCTCATCATATCAATCCTAGGTCTAATCCTAGTCAGACTAATGTAAGAAAGATGAAACGGCTTGCATTGAATATGTTGATAGGCTAATAGCTAGATATGTATAAAAATGTAGGCATTGATAGGCATTGATACTCATAACTCCAAAAGTTATAACTCCAAGGAGATGGGACCCATGCTCCCTCGTTGCCTGCGGAACGATCTTTGTATCAAATCTTAAAAGCAAACCGACAGCTTATCAGGCGGATCTATTGGCACAGGTATAATAACCATAACCCCGCCTAGCCGGAATGCTGGGGAGGCTCAATGACCCCAAAGGTGAAAAGATTCACATTCAGATCACTCGGTTGAACCAACCAGCAAGCTGTACGATTGAATACTGGATAGCTGAGCGAAAAAGACTCGGACTAAGATGATGATGATGAGAGACTGGTTAGTAACTAGAAGAAAACGAGTAGACCGAAATTACAAGTATGGCGTAACGTGAGGAGACACACGAAGGACGTCAAAGCCATAATTTATAGCCATAATTGAAAAGCAAACCATCCTAAGACCAAAAAGCACCTGAAATGGCAGATTTCAAAGATGAAAATTGGAAGAAAATATGGTAGAAAACAAAGCCTATATTGGAGATCCATCCATAAACACAGTCGTATAGCACATCCCAAGCAAATAAGCTGATTCAGAATATATATGCCTTTTAGCAAAAGCGCGAGCTAAGTAAGGCAGCTTCCCTTATAAGTACGCACAGACATAAAGAATACATACAGACAGACAGGTAAACAGACATCAGCTTTGTTATATACAAATTTCGATAACCTAACTCTAGTTATCATAGCAGTTTTCTGATCCGTCTTCTTCTGAATAACAGTTGCTGAAAGCACATCCCTTGCACGCAAAAATGGGAATAAAGACGGTGTCTGGGAAAGAAGTCGATTTTGCATACCAGAACCTCACTATACTGAATCCGAAAATCCACGCTGGAAAGCGCGAAAATAGCGTGGGGGCCTGACGCAGGAGTTGAGAATCAGCAGGTGGACGTGCCTTCCACTAAAGTCACTCTTCCAGCTGCAGGAGCGATGTTCTTGGTTGCGATTTCAAGTAGCGATGTTAGGGCGGCTGTAGGAAACGAGAAGATCGCGAGAAGGAGCGATTTCGCGGAGTGGAAGACTGCGTCCATCTGCTTATTTTCCTCCTGCGTTAGAGCCCTTTTCGCGCTCTTCAGCATGTTTTCTCGGCAGCATAACGAAAATCGACTTCTTGCTCGGACGCCGCCTCTAACGAGATTTTGGCTGGCTCATATTTTCACAGCCGCATATTCGGATTTAGGATTCGCTAAAACTTGGCCCACAGGGGCTATCCGACATGCTCATCACAAATAAACTCATTGTCCTTTTGGCAGCCTAGGCGACAATGCAAGGGAGAGGAGAGCGGGTCTGTTGAGACGCTCGCTCAATTGCCTAACTGTGTTATAGAGCAAGGCTTTGCCAGTAAATGTAGACCGCTTTTTCTAGCTTTCCTTCAGTTTCAGAAATGGAGCGCAAAGTGTTCGCATAAAGTCAGATGATTTTGCAGCTAGATAAAAATCTTTATATATGAATTCACATGAGAGCTGAAAAAAAGATGCCTACGTCGATTCTGCATGTTCCAAGCTTTCGAATGGTTTGTCGTTGATGAGACATAAAGCTTTCTTAAATAAAGAAGTCCCTGTTCGATGGACTTTTGAAACCAAAGCATCAAGAAATTTTTTATGTTACACCTCTGTATCACTTATTCTTCCCTCTTTGCACGCCCCATTCCCACCATGTGAATTGCGTCAGCATTCGCCTCAAGGCTCGTGTACCCCTTCACCTTTCTAGATCGGAAATAGCCAAAACCCCGCTCATGGAGGAGACCTTGCTCCTCCTATTGCACCTATGCCCCAGAGGATCACTGCTTTTTTGAAGTCAATTATCTTTCCACAAACTCAACAAAAATATTCTAAGTTGTGTTGAGGAACTAATATGACGGTATTAATGTGATAGAAATGACTGAAATAAATTAACCTACGTCATCAGCAGAAGCGTTAATCTTCAGTAAACCTGCAAGGCGGAGAACAAAGACTAGTCTCCTACACATTTGGTCGCACTCATCAACGGGCATAGCGATGACGATGTGCAGAGCACAGACAAATATGTAGACCAACAGCAGAACCTTCATCTTCTCTGCTTATTCGATTTACCCTGATTTTATGATTGTAACCATTTTACAGAGCTGCAGCGCCGACATGACATACATTCAACGCAGCGAGTAAAACGCTCAAAGTTCATTTTTCATCATCGTTTTCGCGCAGTCAATAGTATCCGCGGTGGTTTTATCTTTGAAGATTCTGATGAGGAGTAATGTACGTAAGTTGTTCAAGAAGTTAGGGAGCAATTGTCGACAATGCAGGAATACTACATTTACCGAGAAGTTTTCTAAACTCTGGACTGATTTGGGCTGTCACAAGCTAAATTTCTGGCAGCAGTGACTCTCTTTCACATGGGATGCGTCAGCTTTTATGTTGGAATTTCGATCAAAGAAAAATTTTGTGATTGCCACAGTTAAAAAGACATTTTCTTAAGAACTTCACCCATTCAGTGAAAAACTGGAGAAATGCTTGGAAATTTGGTCAATACTGATCGAAGAAGCTCGAAAGATTTGTTTGTGATGCGCTAGCATACTAGCGAAATATGATACACAATCAACATCATTATCAATTGTCATTGATCAAAAAGTCCTGCTGAAAAGTAAAGTTACAATTCAAATTCTGCCTTCGCACTTGCATTAGGTTGTTCCGAAAGTAATTCGCTTTTTTCAAATGCACGCCACATTTCACAAGGATTTTTGAGAGGTCTTGGCGGCATTCAATGCAGCATTTCATCCTCTTTCTAACTGTTATAAATTCATGACCTCTCAAAAATTAGCCAAAATCTGCGATCCATGCCTTTTGAGATCGTCAAGTTTCACAACTGTTCTAAATTTCCATACCAATCTTCGGAAGGAGCCCAAATAACGGATGGATAGAGCAAATCCTGCAGGATACAAAACTGTTTTTCTCCTTTTTATATCATCATAATTTTTCAATAGAAGGTTATTTCATGGTACCAATCTCCATATTTGACTCAAAACTAGTAGAGCGACAACCGACGAGTAACATAGGTGCTATTCGATGCAACTTTTCCTCTTTCGAAGATAAAATCATCATGATTCGTTGTTTTAACGAACCCCAGGCTGTACAGAAGCACCTAGAAATTTGTTATTTCGAATCCGTAAACGCTCATTTGCTTTGTAAAAATAGTGTTGATTGATAATCCTTTTTTGAAAGTTTCAACCAAAGATCTCTTGGTGTCTGTTGTGTTTGTTTCTGACGTAGGCCCGCCAAAATCCTGTGATTTTTGTAAATATTCTATCATAATATTATGAGTTATGGAAAGAAAAATCGCTTTGAATCGTGTATGGGTTGCTTTATTCATCAGTTACCTTACTCCATCGGAAGAGATATAATTTGAAGAATTTGTGAAACTTGACCATCTCAAAAAGCATGGGTCGCAGATTTTGATAAATTTACAAGCGCTCAAACCTTCTGTGATGAGCTTATAATCATCAAAAAAGAGATGAAGTGCCACATCAAATGCTGCCAAAATCTCTTGGGTATCTTTCTTTTAAAAATTTGGCGTTCATTTGTATAAAGCGAAATTACTTTCGGAAGGGCATAATTGGCATTCTGAGAAGTTCTTTATTGAGCTGATGCATGAGCCTATTTTTCATAATTTTTCTGTTTGTGTGTGTCGCTCTCAGCAGACTAGTCGGCATAATGTAGACTGACGGACGAAGGTTACTCGTGTGGTCATTTGAGATGGGATATATACCATTACAGTCGTCTTGGATTGCTGATTTCGTGCTTGGATTCCATTAGCTCGTTTCTCTGAAAGAAGTTTTGAGGGGTTTTCGCGCCGAATTTGGCCGCCTTAGGGAAATACGATCGAAAAGGCATGCACAGCCGTTGCGCTGTGTAGTGGTTAGGGGGGTAGCGTCATAAGATAAGTAGGCAGTTCCTTTGCGCTTCTCAGTCTTGAAGTACCTCCACAAGCTTCCTTCTATAAGTTTGACATCCCAAGGTAAATGGACGCCCTCACTTTTTAGAAAATCAACGAGTCATTTTTATATCAGTGTTTCCTATTCAAATGGTGCCTAGAACGAGAAAATGAATGCGATTTACACAATAATGGATTTGTATGACAAAGTGATTGAAACGTGATGGTGAGCGAGATTTGATTGTTTGTTTCGTTCGAGTATAATCGAAGTATGATCAATTAGAACGTTCTACAGAGTAATCTCCTTACCAATTTTTCATACGTTTTAAAAGTAAGGACAAGGTTAATTTCGAGGATGTCAAACTTAAAAAAAAGCGTAATGGAGGCAACGGAAAACTGAACAAACGCACAAAAATTTAGACTTAAATGCATCATCTCGTGAGGCTATCGTGTTACAACACAGCGCAAAGGCGGTGTTGTCGTGCCGATTGTATCGTCCCTGGGCGGCCCAACTCGGCGTGAAAATTCTGCATGATTTCCTTCAGAGAAACAATTAGCAGTAATGCAATTTAAATTTGGAATTAGCGTTCAAAACTAGTGGAAAGGTATTCATCTCAAAAAGCCACGATCACCAAGTATCCTTCCCTTGTGAGATGTAAGCGAAAGAGAGGTTATCGTTCCTTCACTAATTGTTCGGTTTTGAACACTTTTGAAAAAAAAGTATTTCGTACATCAATAGTTTTTCTTCTGCCGTACCGGGTGTTATTGGTAACACTTTAATTGCCTTACGTTTCATCTACATCTGTCGTCGGAGGCTCAAAAGGTATCAGTCACTTGATTCATAATCTCGGCCGTCAAATACCTTCTCCCGCTGGCCCACTCAATCCGTTCCGAGTGGAAGTAGTGAGTTTGTGGTGGTCCAACTGATCGATTTTCATGGTTCCTCAATCAAATTATCAACCAACTCTTGAACAAATTCCCCGCTGAGTAACACAAATCATTTCCTTGAGCTCTTGCGGCATGAATTCGATTGCGATGGCGTATTTGAGTCATTCGACGTCAATTCATATCTAATGAAGACGCTCTGCAAGCACTTTCTGAGATGCTAGAAGCGCACGGTAAAAGTATAACGATCTACGGTCTCAGCAAGTATCGCATCATGAATCTAATGAAGGAGTGCCTGCGTTGCAATATCTTCAGGTGGTCGGGGTAGTACTATGCGCAAATAAAAGGCTTGACAGTGGGTCAATGCTTGGCACCCGAGCTATCTGTTTATGAGCAGAATAGAACAACCAGTGCTAGCGAGAGACCCGCTTATATAATGTCGTTACATTGACGACTGTTGCATCGTTACCTCCACACAGTCCATGATGGACAAATGCTTCGAAATACTAAATGAACAGTCGCAGTACATAAGTCTGACAAGAGAGGAGCCACGCAAAGGTTGGCTTCCATTCCTCAATACGCAGCTGATGATGGTTAAGGATCGGTGAGCATACTAGTGGTTTAGAAAGGAAATGTTATTCTACACGCACAGTCCGCGCATCCGACAGCGTAAAACGCGCAGTAACTCGAAACATGATCAAAACGGCAGTGAACATCTGTAGCGGCGAACACGAAAAACACCATGGTCTCGAATGGATAGACGGACCCGGAGGTACAAAAAGAACGTCAACAAAGGCAAACGCACAGAGCATAAACAAAATACCGTTGTGCCTGCCTTTCATCTACGAAAGGGTCACTGCTGCATTCAGACATTGCTTGTTGCAAGCATAGTTGTCAAAGGATGTCTTACTGGTGAACACGCCAAAAAAAAACATCAAAAAAACAACTGGTCCGTAACAGGATCTGTGATGGAAGCTTGCAGCTCATCCGCGATTGCGTAGTTTGCCCTAATGGAAAAGTAGGAGATTGCTCCAAATCTGGTGTTGTGTATCACATCCAGTGCTTAGAATGTTCTGCCATTTATACTAGTGGAACTGGCCGACCATCAGGTGCACGCATAAATGAGCATTTGGCTAGCAAAAAACGAAGAGCTGGGTAAGTCCACTGTGAAAGCACAGAGAAATTGAACACAGCGGTGCCGATTAAGATATTAAGTGAAGCAGTTTAGCCTACGAGAATGAAATACCAGCGAGAAAAATGCTTGAGGCGTCTTACATTCTTGCCCGCGACCCCAAACTCAACAGCAAGAATGAACGGCTATCTATTACTGGAAATCTGATGCCGTATCTGACTTTTAAGAGGTCCGTTGACGCCAGGACTGCTCATTTTCGACCGCAATCGAGCATAGAAGCACTGCTACACACTGGTGACACTCTGGAGAGTAACTCTCCTTCTACCCACAAACTCGCTACTCCCACTCGGAACAAACTGAGTGGGCTAGCGAGAGAAGATATTTGACGGTTTGCATTGTGAATCAAGTGACTGATACCTTTTGAGCCTCCGACGACGGCGTGTAGCCGAAAGATAAGGGCAATAAAGTGTTACCATTAACAACCTGTACGGCAGAAGAAAAACTATTGAAGTTAACTATTTCACAAGATGCCCAGGTTTCAAGACAGGATGTATGAGGTATAGGGGCCTGCAGGATCGCGAGAGTCGGAGAGTTGTGCCCACTTCTCATCCCCTCATGGATAATTAGGAGCCATGACTGTTATCCGCAGGCATATATAGGGGCCTGAAGGATCGCGAGAGTCGGACGTGCGTACGGCCATTGCGCCGCGCACGTCCGATGTCACTAAGGCAAGTGCCAGACTTATCCACTTCAGCCGTTCGTTCCGTTCATAGGTCAAATCACTACACTGTCCAACAGCAAAGGTGGTGAACCGAATGAACCTGTGCAACAGGATAAGTCTGGCACTTACCTGGGCCGTCGCACGCAGTTCTGACGTGCGCGGCGCAATGGCCGTACGCACGTCCGACTCTCGCGATCCTGCAGGCCCCTATATTTTGTACTTTTTTGTTGCAAAACTTATGCATCACCTCAATATCAGAATCGATAATGCACTTCTGAAAAATGAAAAAGAATCATTATACTAGCAAATGGTTGTGTATGCTGAAAATGTAAAGCATTTACTCTTGTATGCACGTAAGTCGCAAATGATTGCGATAAGCACTGATTTTTATTCAAGAGACAACTATATGGTATTGATTCATGGGCACACATTTCAGCACCATACTGGAGAGCTGGCTTCAAGTTGAATTTACAGTATGAGATGAATCACCGTCGTCCTTCACTACTGTAGGATTACGGTAGAAACTTTGAAGGGCTGGTCGAGCTAAAGAGCGCCCTATTTTGCTTTAGAAAACGTACTGAGCAATATAGAAACTTTATATGCTAACTTAATTCACTGACTTCAAATGTGAAATTTGCGTTTTCTCGTAAGGCTTTTTTTTCTCAAGTTATGGTTCGTATACATGACGACTTTTTTCTCAAGAACGTATCACAGCATTTAGAGCCTAAAAATTATGTAGGGAGTTAATCACTATCAGCAGACGAAAAACCTTTATACACAACTATCCGTTTTTTTTGTATTTTTTTGAAATGGTGGCATAATCAATATGCAGGAACTTCTTACCGTAATCCATAGCAATGAGAGGCGATCGGTGATTCGATTCATACTGCAAATCTAAGTTGAAGCAAGCTCTGCATTATGGTTCTGCGTGATCATAAAAGCTTTCCATATAAATGAGTAATTGGAGATCAACTGTTTGATACAATATTCTGGAAATGGTAAAGCAGTGATTTATGCAAAACCTTCTCATTAATCGCCTTGCTGAAAGTCTAAAAGGAAGAAACCTAGACAGGATTGTTATCGACACGAAAAGTCTGCGCAGTTCAGAAAATCTGTAGATTTTGTTTTCAAACAATGTGTGAATATAACGTTTTGAAATGTTGGAGTGTCAAGATTTCATTCCTAAAGAATCAGGCTGGGTATTAAATACAAATTTCTTGAGAGTTGATATTGAATCAATTAGTTGATGCTCTGATAAACGTAAAGCAGTTGTACAAAATGTTTATTTGTAATAGTTCAAAGTCTTTATTATCACATAATGAATTTGTCGTAATCTTCAAGGACAAGGGACCTCCAGCGAACAGGTCAAGTATGTAGCATTCAACAAAATTTGAGATTACTCTTGCAAGCGCTCCTTTCGTTGATCCATTCCTTAAAAAGGCGAATTGACATTTTGGTAAATTTTTAAATACCCAAAGCTATAATCGAAATTGTAAAAATTGCTCTAGAGTCCAAAAGCGACGACTTCATCACATAATGCTGTCCCTCTCTAATTTATCACACAGTGGTGTTTCTCTTCAAAATTCTAAATGGAAGAAACCTAGATAGAATTGGCATACACGAAAAGTCTGCGCGGTTCAGGAAAATCTGTAAATTTTGTTTTGAAATAATGTGTGAATATAACGAAATGTTGGAGTGTCAAGAAGTTTTTCATTGCTGAAGAATCAGGCTAGTGAATAAATACAAGTTCCTTGAGAGTCGATATTGAAGCATAAATTCAGTTAATTGCTGTTTATGTAATTATGCAATAAGTGATGGCTGCTGCAGATTGGTATTATAGTTGTAACGCTCTAAATAGCCCTGACACCCTGTTTGAACGAAATTCTATCAGAAAATTACCATGGGGGCTAGATTTTTGAGGAAAGTAGAAAATAAGATTTTTAAGCTAGTAAGCGGACGAAAGTGCTGCAATCCATTAAAATCAAACTAAAACGAACCCATTTATTGTCATTATTCAAAATGTGTGACATGGCTTTTTTGTTCTTTGCCAATTGTGAGGCAACGTCTTTGCAGGTTGCTTGAAGTTTGAAGTCGTATATCTTGCACTTATACTCCATTACCTGTAGAAAAAAGGTCACCACAAAAAAGCGTTTTCAGTTTACAGCTGAGCATACGGTGACTCGCCTGCTCCGGCGTTTTCTTCATTTTCAATTCAGCTGTGTAGCGAAGTATAAATGCAAGGTCCTCGCAAATCAAACACTTTTCTGATGGTTTACCAGTGCAAAGTAAGCACAAGGTAGCGATGATTACAACTTGGTGATTCATTAATAAGAGAAAGTATGTATATTAAACTCTTCTACTGAAAATTGATTAGTAAACTCTGCAAAATGATGATTGGAGTAATTTGCAGTGGCCTCGTTAGTGCTAAAGTGAATTCTATCATGCGCATACCTTCAGAATTTGCATTCGCCGTTGATCTGAGAGTTCGCAGAATATCGCGGCGACTGAATTCACATAAAAGATGCATCTTCAGTGATATATGAACTGGAGGGGGGGGGAGGGGGAGGGGGGGAGGGTGACGAAATGAATATATTAGCAGTCTCCTGCGTCTTCATGCGCAGTGTACAGCCCACACTAGGGTTGGCAATCTGTGCTAGCAGCAGCAACAAGATTTCATTTTCCTCAAATTTTTTTCCATTTTCAACCCTCTTGCAATCACAATTGACGTATGCTGTGACCCCTGCTTACCAGAAATATTTAAGAAAAAATTCTTTTTTGTGAAGGGGAGTGGGTTGAAGGCATCGTTTCACTCAATTAAAGTGAAGAATGTCCACGAAGCTCGATTAAAGGATTCCCCGTGCTAGCTCAAGTCCGACCCTACATGACCCTTTCCAGGCTAAGAAAAGTGCAGTTAGAGCGAGTCCAGAGTGCAACCCAGTTGAGCTAGACGAATTTTTGGTTCTTCCTTCCCATGTGATACGCCCATCTTTTACGAAATGTTTGACTCTACTGCGGAGGCTAGAGCAGAGGGCACAACTCTCCTGCATCGCTTCCGCAGGGCCTTCGAAAAGCCACTTTTGCGGTTTTTATGGGAGGAACCTAACGCGGACGATGTTTATAAAAAACGGAAAAAGGTGTGTTTCTCCTTTGTGCTCAAAAGCAGCGTCTAAGCAAATCTGAACTCAAGGGGATTCCCCATGGTAAGTAATTTTGGGCTGATTAAGACTCTGCCCAAGCGACAGTCAGATAGCGCATTCGCTGAGAGACTCATTTCCGAATTAGTCCCCAATATGTATCGACGGACGGCTGGCATCATACTCACATGGTTTCGTACCATAACCCATTAACTTCACGTACGTCTTCGCGCGAAAGCATGCAAGCACGACGCAAATTGTCTCCGTTAGTACGATACTGGGATTCAATTTGTAGATGAACTTCTCCGTAAGTAAATCATTTGCACTGCCGTTTGAGAAGTGTCCTTGTCAGGCCTCCAGAATCAGTCCACGTGATGTCTGCATCTACCTGAATCGAAACAATATGATGAACGATCTAGCTCCGGCACTGAGCAGGAGGAAACGTGCAGTATGGGAAACATAGAAGACAACTGAGAACGTAGTGAAGAAGATCCGGCTTCGCACCCAACTTTTCAACTCGACGGTTCTCCCTGCACGTACGCTTCAGAAACATGGACATTGAGCAAGCAGTATGAACACGCGGTTAGCGTCATCGAACGGGGTGTTGAGAGAGTGATGCTAGGAGTGAATCGACTCACGCAAGTGAGGCAAGGATTACGAAGTTCTACTTTACGTCGACGATCTAGATCAGGGCCGCTGCCGCGTACGCCAAACAGAACAAGGTAAGGTGGGCCGGGCACGTAATGCGTTTCGACGACAACCGTGGACGAGAGCTGTAACAGATTGGATACCACTGGACGTCAAACGCAAACGAGGAAGACCGCCGACGCGATGGTCAGATATGTTCACGAAGTCCTCTAATGAAGTCCTTCAGAGCGTTCCACGTGTAACTGGTGCAATACGTAAACACTGGTCAACAATCGCCCGAGACAGGGATTGATGAGTATCTTAACTTTAAGGGACTCACTAGCGTAATAAAGAAACGTTTTTTATACAAAGGATATGTGTACTCCTAGTCGATTGGAAAGTGAAGAACCTGAGAAGTAAAAAATGAACAACAAAAACACTTTGATCGCCTGAAACTCCTTGCTTTACGACAAATGCTTACGCTGTCGCTTCTGCAGGCGCACTTTACCGGGAAATCTACTCAACTGTATGTGCATACGTGCTTTAACACATTGACGACCGCTTGACACACATGGTGTGTCAAGCAATGACTACCGCGTGGGACCGCTTGGCACACCATGTGTGTCAAGGCTTGAGTTTATTTAAAATGACTAATATCCTGAGATAATATCACTCCATGAGCTTTGTTTTCCACTGAATCTAGGGTTGACCACTACCCTTTTTGTCTGCCTTTCAGAACTATTGTAAATGTACTGTAGATGGCAGTATGCGCAAATATTAGGTCGTTTCAAAAGTAAATTCGCTTTTTTCAAACGGGCACCACATTTGACGGAATAAAGATTTCTAAGAGGTCTTTGAAGCATTCGATGCAGAATTTTATTCTCTTTCTAATGGTCATGAAATTGTTGCAAAACACTCAATGAGCTTTCAGAAAATTACCAAAATCTGCGACCCATGATTTTTGAGATGGTCAAGTTTCACAATTTTTAAAACTGTCATATCAATCCTCAGAATGATACAAAAGTAAGGATTCGATAGAGTAGACCATATAGAATACATCACTACTTTTTTCTTCTTTCCATAGCTTGTCATACATTTTTGACAGAATTTTGACTGATGCTACCGATTCCCATACTTGGGCAGCTAAATCCTCGTAGAATACCAAAAGAAGAGCAGCTCGCGCAGTATTCGATGCAGTATTTTCTCCTCTTTCTAACAGGTGTTTTTTGTTTCCTATTCGATTAGTTTCCGGGGAGAAATATGGGGAGAAATCATCATGACTCATTTTTTTAGCGAGCCCCAGGCTGTACCCGAAAAACCCGAAATTTGATATTTCGAATCCGTAAACTCTCACTTGCATTGTAAAACCAATATTAAGTCATATACCATCTTGGAAATTTCAAATTGCGAATAATTACCGTTGTTTGATGCGATTTTGGCTGACGTAGGCCTACCAATATCGATGGTTTTCTTGAAAAATCTTTTAAAAAATTACGGCGATCTAGAAAAAAAAGAGAAAAGTAGTACTGTATTCTATAAAGTTTACTCTATCGAATAGTCACTTAAACTCCTTCTGAGGATTGATACGAAAGTTTTAAAAAATTGTAAAACTTGACCATTTCAAAAAGCATGGGTCGCAGATTTTGGTTATTTTCTGAAAGTTCATTAAACGCTTTGCAACAATTCCATAATTTTGGAAAGAGAATGAAATTCTGCATCGAATGCATCCAAGATCTCTTATAAACCTTGGTTTTATCAAATGTGGCGCCCGTTTGGAAAAAGCGAAATTACTTTTGAAACGACCTAATATATTTGAAAAATCTAGGCTGTTCCGTAAATGGTTTTGGTCCAAAGGCTGACAACCAAAAATTTGTGTATGGTCGTCAATGTGTTAAGTGACCCCAAATATTGCGGAGATGTCCAAAGTTCGTGATTCTGAGGTAATCGACTTCACATATCGTAGTTATAAAGATTACATGTGTGATAAGGCATGCAGAAGGCCTTACATAAGTTTTGCATGAACGAGAATGAATGTTTTAACATCTGTCGAAATTTGAACGTTTGATAAATTCTCTTTCTTGAGAAAACTGCAAGTATTCTCGAAGTGTTTCCTTACGTTCACTACCCCGATGTGTTGCACCGGGTTTTGCTCTCGGATGCTAAAACTGCAATTATGCGTACATTTTGGTCGATTCAAAGAAGTCCGCAGCTTGCGTGCTGTTCAAACGCAAGGGACCACCTTTTTGAAGCTGTAGATACCATTCTTCTGCCTACACACAACTATTCTTGAATTGTGATAAGTTCCAAAGTAGATAAAACTTTTACACTCAAATGTTGCATAAATGCAACACGCCCCTCACGCAACGCTTGATAGAAAGCCATTCTGAGATTGAGAATTGTAAGAATTCAAGGTATACTCCAGACTGAAGAGAAGCCTTGATGCAGCGATGTGCTAACGTGACAATTATTTTCCGTTCGTGAAGAGCGGTAGAAAAGCGCTTCATGGACGAGGCAGTACATTCGCCATTTTGTCATAATATGCCCATAAAAAATGCAAGAGAACAAGAATAAATGTTTATTCAAGCGGTTTAACATTAACAAATACTGTAAAAGCTGAATTAATTCTAGCACTTTTAGTGCTTTGAGCTTGATATCCTAGTCTACGCAGTTGTAGAATGCAGAAAAGCCTATGACGAAATTAGGGCGAAATGCAGTGTAAACGAAGAGCGAAAGTCCAGAATGTATTGTATAAAGGCAATAAGTCACACCTAGAAAGAGCACTTTCATTCTGTCATTTGTGTCATAAAATCGTAAACAATCAATGTTTCAGACTTACCCACGGCAAGATCATTTATCCTTGGTATTTGCCAGTCATTGATGCATGAAACAACATTCGGAACAGTTACCAAAATCACAGAGATCCCGCTAATGACGAGAAGCATTTTTTGCTTCCATGATTCATCTTTTGACGGCGCCTAAGGATATGAATCAAATTCGAATGTAAGATAAGTTGGGCCAAACCTACCCTTCTCCTATTTATACGTTTGAATATAACTTTCAAAACTATAAAACATAGCAGATACACTAAAGCTATCAATATAAAATGTATGGTCCCATAAATAGGGCCAGTCGCTTGTAAAACACTACACATAGAAGTTGGATTTTTATTGCCACTGATATAAGTGGTCACAAAAGCAACGCTTATGAAGAACTGTAAATATCTGCCCTGATAGCTGGTATTCAGAGAAAATTCCTTACCATAGTTAAGGCAAAAGCAAACAAAATGAGATAGTATTTGTAACGCTCTTTCCATTTTTTTCGATAGACATTCAAAAATTCCAGCGCTAAAACTCGTTCCAATGTAATAAGAAGAGTGATAAGGGCGGCAAACTGTCCTGGAAGAGAGATTTTGTAACTCAAAACAACCTAAGAAGTATTTTATTATATACCAACTTAATCTTTGCATTGAGTAAAAGAGAGGAGTACCAGAAGGGGGAGGAAATGCGCCGAAGACGAAAGTCTGTGCAAAAGCAAACGATTCCAGTTGAGTTACAGGGCTTATCA